TTGTCAATTTTTAGCCAATAGACCTATTTATCGAAGCGGTGTGAGTGAAGCAGCAGCAAATAAAGGTAGGGACAATAAACAATGAACTTCATTTCAATTAACAAAGCACCTGTTAAAAAAACAAATATGCTCGGCCTTCGTAAATATTAATAGCAATTGTTTTGAACAAAGTCAAAAGTAATAATAAAATTTAATTGGAATATTTATTTAATATTTAGATCTAGAATCCAGCTCTAAATCTAATCATGTTGTAAATGAAATTAAATCTAGATTTAGAGTGACTGGCTACGCTAGGTAGACATAAAATCTAGAATCAACTTATTTTATTAAATTTAATTACAAAATCTATGGTTGGCTGAGATCTAAGAGCAGCAATCCATGTTACCTACAAAGAGATCACGTTTTATGATGCGTTAGAAACAATTGGGGGCTAGAAACGATTGGGGGCTGGGTGTGAAGTTGCATGGAGGTAAGAAATTTTGAGGGAAGGGAAGTGGTACTGACTCCTCTTTGGTCTCCACCCTGCTGGACCATGATGGTCTTAAATTACATAACATACCATCTCTGCTGGGCTGAGAACAGTAATCCATGTTACCTACAAAGAGATGAAGTTCTACGGTGGGCTAGAAACAGTTGGGGGTTGAGTATATGTAGGTAAGACATTTTTAGGGGGAAGCATCAGTATATCTTGTCCGATCACGTCCCTGCTGAGATCTAAGAACAGCAGTGGTTGTTACCTCAGAAATAAAGAGATTTATTGGGGGTTTAGTAGGGGTTAAGTGGACTCACGCTTGTTACTGTACCAGATCTATTGCTACTAAATCTTTTTTACTTAACTAGAGAATCTAGATCTAGATTTACATTATCTGTATTACTGAATTTTATATCAACACGAATATAACGATCTTCAATTCCTTAACGGATTGTTTATGTTCTGTGGGTGCGAGGCTCTCAACATATAATGAACACATTTTGAGACACACCTACAGCTGCCAAACAACTGATTGTTTACTCGCAGGTGTTCACCACCGTGATTTAGGTCAGTTAAAACTATATGCTAAAAAATTTAGCATTAGGTTTAGAAATAAGCAATTTTGGTTTTCATCACCCAGCCATGCCCTTAAAAGGTCTTTAATTCTGAAAGCCTCCCCCCCCCCCCCCAATTCTTATACAATAGTTATCTTAGTGTGAGTGGGTATCAAGCAAATGGCCTTTGTTTACAAGGGTATTATTAATTCTTTTGCAATATAAACTAATATGATATGAAATAAATGAAGACTGTCAGTGTACACATTCAGCTTGTTACAACAGAATAAACACGTAAAATTGTATTTTAAACTAGTACTTCTTATATTAATAAGCTTTGTATCTTACATAGTCTATCTGTTGAATTTAATCCACCACTGTTCAATTAATAATTTCCACCTTTGGTTTATAATGTTTAAGACAGCTTCGCTACGTTTTTATTTTACATTTTAAATAGGCTTAATGGCCTTATAATATAACAAAAATGTTATTGTTACAGAATACAAAAACAGAGAATAGGTAGTATTGATATCGCTAATAATTAGGCTTACGGGTTCTATTTTGTTAGTAGGGTTTTACAGCTTGCGAACAGTTGAAGAAGAAAGTAAAAAAATTTTTGAAGATTTTATGCGTTAAAACAAAGCTGAATCTATGTTAAAAATTTTACTTAAAATCTTATGGTTTCACTCAAATAGAAGCTAGTGTCATAATTTTTAGTTTTACATCATTCTTTTTATAATGAACACTAATTTCAACTTTGTGTTGAGTTATTGTATGCCTCATTCTTTCATTAGTAGCATGTAGCACATCATATCATATTAGCTCAATTTGCACATTTTTACTATTTGAAAAAAGTTCATTTATGATCTTGAAATGCTCTTTAAGTAGTTTAATTTTAAATTATTAAAAATCTATGAGAAAAGAAATGTATAAAATTTAGTGACCTAATTCCTATAAAACAAAGGAACATGAAAATGCAGTATCAATACTGATAATATAGCGCCTAGTTTGTGAGAAATTTAAAATAAATATAAAGTTAAATAAATATTGAAGATAATTCCACTAAAAACAGAGTTAGTCACAATGTTTTACTATTTTAAATAATGTTTTGAAAACACACCTTTTAAACTAAATATGAGATTCACAAAAACATAAAATTATACAGCGGTAACGGTGAATAACCGCTGCCATAATCGCATTATATCATTTTTAAATGGTTAACAAGCAATGAGAAAGACTAAATTTAAATCATTTTTTGTTCAGAAAAGGTTTAGAGCCTGTGATGGGAATGCCCGGGGCGCCACATAGCACCTTGTCGGGGCTGGAGGACGCCCTAGATTAGATATAGTGAAGGTCTATAGTAAACCTTCTTATCCACAGCCTTTCGCACTCTTTAAAATGAATGTATGCACCATAGCGCTCTCAGGAAAGCTCAGGCGCAAATCGCACCCTGCCAGAGCGTCAGCGGACTCGCCTGATTCAATTTAGTGAACAACTATAGTACTCCATCTTATCCTCAAATGGAAAGATAACAGTTAACATAGAGGACATTTATGAACACTTTCTAAACTGATTGATTAAACATAATAATTAGTAAACAGTAACTTCATTGTATAAAATAAATAAAAGGTAGTATTTAAAATACTCCTGATTTACCTAGCATATTGCACTTTATCAATTCATGCTAATAATATGTTTTTCCAACATCAAAACAAACTAAAAATAAAGTACCCCCTCCCCCCTTCCTTGGTTCTAAGGGAAGTAATTATTTTATTTGTGATTTATCAAGCAAAAGTCATTGGTGATAAGGGACTAAGGGAAGTAATTTATACACTTTTTCAGACACAATTAGATCTTTTGTAAAGGTGATACATTTTCTTTGATTTTGTTCATTCTACATGACGTCAAAAAAATGATAAGTTTTGAAAAATGAAAATTGTTTTACAAAACCATCAGTATCATTTTTTAAAATCATTAATTGAGATCTTCTTCTTCTTCTTCGTTCTTAATTATTAGTGTTAAAGGGGATCGATATTTATCTGCCAGTGGGTTTGAACTCGAGACTTTGTTCGAATTTATCAACCATGAGCTTTTTGCCGACTCGACCACGCCTCCAACACAATTAAGCGTTACGTGTCAACTGGTTATGCGCCATTGAGGCCATTGACTCCGATTTCAGCCTGCTTTTCTTTTTGGATTTGCTTCCATAGCCTTTGTCCAACCAAGAACAATCTACAAGGCAGCAGTTGTTTAATTTTGGAGTTGTCTCTCCTAGAAGAGTGGCTGTCACCAGCTAACGAGCCTCATCTGCCCGAGGGTTCGAACTCGAGAATTTTCGGTTTAGCAACCATAAGCTTTACCGACTCGACCACGCCGACCCCATTAATTGAGATAATAAACACTTTAAGAATATTACACAATGGCGATGGAAGTCCAGGTTTTTTTTTTACTGTGTGCATGTCATTCAAGGGCCCGCCACATGCAGAGCCACAGAGTCCATTTCAACTTTATATATATATATATATATATATATATATATATATATATATATATATATATATATATATATATATATATATATATATATATATATATATGTGTATATATATGTATATATGTGTATATATATCTATATATGTGTATATATATCTATATATGTGTATATATATATATATATATATATATATGTATCTATATATATATATATATATATGTATCTATATATATATATATATATATATATGTATCTATATATATATATATATATATGTATCTATATATATATATATATATATATGTATCTATATATATATATATATATATATGTATCTATATATATATATATATGTATCTATATATATATATATATATATATATATATATATATATATATATATATATATATATATGTATATATATATATATATATATATATGTATATATATATATATATATATGTATATATATGTATATATATGTATCTATATATGAATATATATGTATATAATATATATGTATCTATATATGAATATATATGTATATAATATATATGTATATATATGTATATAGGCTATATATATATATATGTATATACATATATATATACACACATATATATATTTATATATATATGTATATATATATATATATCTATTTATTTATTTATATTTATATCCATTTTATATATATGTATTTATATATATTTAAATATTGATATATAGATATAGATAGATTTATATATATATATATGTATATATTGTATGTTTGTGTGCCATGTTTTAATTTCATGTTTATTTCTACAATGACTTATCAATTTAACTGCAAATTAATGTCTACTGAATTTTTTGCATGGTAAGTTAGAGCTAAAGGCTATTGTTTTGCTTTGTATTTTGCTGTTTTATTTGGTTCTTTTTAACTTCTAACCACTGATTAACTAACAAATGCAATACTTTTTCTTTAAATGTGTTAGACCAATTTAAAATAGGAACAAAATTTGTAAAGCAAAAAGTTCTGTATTGCAGAAATGTTCTTGTTATGTATTGTAAAGCAACTGTAGATGACCAAACAACCTTTTTACTTAATAGAATACATAATAGCATATACAGTTATTATGTACTTTTATTTCCAAAATAACTTGTAGTTTATTTTTAGTTTTCGCTGAAATGCTGCAGAAGAAATTTTTCTTAAAGAAGAGGCCAACTAGATAATTATAGTGCCCATTCAAAGTTCCTAATCAGAATATATAGAAACAACAAAAGCATGATGAGAATACTTCAAGCAGTAAACCCTATCCATGCTTTTTCTCCTGATAGTCTTTTCTTCACTTACTGGTCCTCTTCTTCTTCTTCTTCTTCTTCTTCTTTGTTCTTAATTTTTGTGTTGAAGGGATCCCCTGCAACACAATTAAGTATATTTGTCAACTGTTTATGCGCAATTGAGGCCATTGACTCTAATTTCATCCTTTGCTTCCTTAGCCTTTGTTCAACCAAGGCAGAAGTTGTTTGATTTTGGAGTTGTTCCTCCTAGAAGAGTGGCTGTCCCCAGCTAACGAGCCTCATCGAACTCGAGACTTTTTGGTTTAGCAACCATGAGCTTTACTGACTCGACCACGCCGACCCTTACTGATTCTCTAATATTATTTGTGTGGCAAACTGGCAACTGAAACCTAATATCTTTTCAGTACAAAATGTTCATTAGTCAGTAGGAGAATGATTATAACACAGGTTTTTGGTTCAGAGACTACCAATAACTGACAAGATTAGGTAAAAACAATCCATTGAAGATCCATAGAATTTAAGTGGAAATATGTTTAAATTTTTATATAAATGTTTGCACAAGACAATAAAAAATGATGAGTGCCATATGTTTGGCTGAAATCATTTGCCTTGAGGGCCTTTTTGTGATAGCCAGGTTTAAATAATAACTTGCAAAATATGATTTTGATTCCGATGTTTGAATCAATAGATACTACTATTAAAATCATTTTGTTGTTTTCTCTATAAAACATACTTAACAAGAGATTTCTTTTTCTTTAATGTTTGCTATTTAAAATGAAATTTATTTTAATTTTAAAATCTTCATTAATTGATTTTTGGATCTTATCCAGATAAGCCGTGCCAAAAAGTTAACCCTCGCCACAAAAAAAAAGATTATTAAATAAAGGAAATTAAACTTTGTACTTTTAGATTTTATTGAAGACGATGAAATTGGGACAGGTCGTTAATAATTTGCCTGAAAAGTTCTTTATTTTGGTACCTTTAACCCCACCCCTTATTGAAGACGATGAAATTGGGACAGGTCGTTAATAATTTGCCTGAAAAGTTCTTTATTTTGGTACCTTTAACCCCACCCCTAACCGTAGAGGCAGATAAGAAATTGCTTTTAAATATTCAAATATCTAGACATCAGAAATAAGTCTCAAGTAGCAGGGCTTAACATTTTCACCCATGCACTTTTTGCATTAATGGCAGGGCGTATCTGGATAAAGATCCCAATTTTTTTTCTAGTTAGTTTGGCAAATGATCTTAGACCTTAATTTATATAACACTCCACTAGACAAATAATTTCTTTTGTATCCTGTGGGTTTCCATTGATGCCTACATTGTAGTTTGATATTTAAATGGTTACTCATTTTAAAAATCTAGTGAGTTTTAAAACAATTTAGAAAAATGCTTGAAATTTGTTTCCCTAACGCAAGTGGCAATGCCAAGAAAAAAATATTTTAAAAGTGAAAATACCATTTTCTCAAGTTTTAAGGCTGAAGCTATTGAACTAAAAGCATATGAAAATAATTAATTGTAATAGAATTATTATTATTTACTGAACCACCATATAATAACTAGCTTACGTGAAACATATTTCTTCAAAATCAGTAACTTATTGGTTACTAATTAATGTTTTAAAAAGTTAAGCTTACCTCAATGTCTGTTTTAACATTTACACGTACAGAGATGTAACTTTCATATTTTTTTACGGAAATATATTTTCATTTCAAAATTTAAGTTAAGCACATTTTAGGCTGTTTTGAAGAATGCAAAAGAGGGGTATTAAATAAACAGATTAATCTTGTATAAGATTTACAAAATAATAATGAAGCCTACTATAATTTGGTTACCTTTACATTGAAATACAGCGAATTACTTAAAAAACATTGGCTGCTATATAGAAAATCTTTTTCCTCTGCAGATAATATTAGTTTTATATTAAAAATAAAATTAAAATATATTCAAATATATTTGGCCCTATATTTTATATTCTTGTGAGTTTTACTTAATAAACTTTATTTTTTTCTAGAAGTCATTTTATTTTCTAACTATAACTATTTTGAAAATCTTATATCATAACCTTTTTCATTTGTTTTGAATATACTTACCATATTATTATTTAATTTTTAAATATTAAGACAAAGAATAATTTATTCATCAGTGCTGTAAAAAAAAATAAAACTACAAAAAAAACGTATTGCCTAAAACAAGTTTACATTGGAATCAAATTAAGTTTAAAAGGGAAATGGTAATGGAAGTTAAGATTTGCAGCAGCTGTCACTAACTCACATTAAGTTTATCAACCATTAGCACAGGTTTAAAGGCTATTTATAAACTTTTTATAAGGATACTTATTTCCCAAGTAATGAAAATTAATAATTTAATATATTCAATATAGCCTTCCAAAGTATATATTTTATTTTTATTATAAGTGTAAATTTATTTTCTAGGACCTTTTAATGTTACACATTTCTAAAACGACATCACACAATTAATTCAACTGCTGAAATCTAAATTTAAAGCAAAGTGGTTGGATGCTGGTTAGGGCATTTGCCAGCGCCACAGTCGCATAAAACTTAGTCTAGGTTGAAAGGGGGTAACTTTCTAAAGTAATAATTTTTCAATCGGTTTAAAAAAAAATTACAAAATTTAGCATTTGTTTGAGCAAAAATTTCATTATACATTAAAATGTGTAAGCCAGTTAAAATAGGCTTGAAAAGCTGGTTTCAAATGGTTGTTACCAGAAAGCATATTTTTCAACCAAAATTGAATATTTTTTGTGAAATAGTTACACAATGACATATTGGCTCCCATCAAATGGGTTCCCGACATATTGGCTCATGACAAATGGGCTCCTGACAAATTGGCTCATGACAAATGGGCTCCTGACAAATGGGCTCCTGACAAATTGGCTCTAGACAAAATGACTCTCGACTTACTGGTTTCAGACAAACGAATCGTATGACAAACATTGGCATAAAAGTATCCTTCCTCCACCACCACCATAACATCTTTAAATGCGTGAAAACATTTTTTTCATGATCAAACAGCAATGCACAAACAAATCGAGCCCGTAGCAGCTAAATTACACCAACTTCAAAATTTTGATGTTTAATTTACCACAGTAGAGATCTGTTGCTTTAAAGCAAGCACTGAAGGTTAAATGTATAATATACATGAGTCGTAATGACGGGAGCCATTTTGTTGAGAGCCTAAATCCCTATTAGTCGGGAGCTGAAATGACGGGAGCCTAAATGACAGTCCATTTGTCTTTAGCCCTTTGGACATGGTCGATTTGACTGGGATGTTCTGTCATTGGCCGTTTTTGACCCCGTACTGTAATTTAGCTAACACATTTATTTTTAAATTTGGACTAGCAGAGTCAGGGTTTTGTGATTATAGAGGATGTTATATTATTTAATGTAAATAAACTACTAGGCTATACCCATTGACCACTATTATGTATTTTATCATGGAAAATAGTTGTTGTGACTTTCATTGTATTACTTTCCCTGGCCATTCCGGTTGACTTCAACAAGGGGTTGAGGGCAGTTTTATTAAACATTTGAATTAATAAAATAATTCTAATCAGCTATTCAACTGCTTATTTTCAATACAAAAATATGAAAATGAGCGTAATTGATGGTTCCCAAACAGCTTTAATTTTTACAAAAATAACTATAATTTTATCCTTGATATATTTATTTAAAGATTTTTTTTAAAAATTAGTATGATTACATAGACTTTTTAAGCCTGTTGTAGAAATTAACTTAAAAAATTAACGTAATTGTTTATTTAAAATAAAATAACTGATTAAAAAAGCAATCCACATAACATCTAGTCACCAATTAAATATTTATTTATATTCTTAGATTTAACTTAAATTAAACTTGGACATATAAATAAACCATATTATTAAATTAAAGTAGCCAGTAGGCCTAAATATAAGGGGAAATAGGCTTTAGAACATTACTATTTTAAATCTGAATCAGTCCTGACAAGTCAAGATGACCATGCTTAATCATGCGTGCAAAGATTAAGCAACATTCAAATTTCATCTAAAGTATTTTTATACATTTACATATTAAATCAATTAGATTGGTCTGTTGGACAGGTGAAGTTTCATTTATCTCTCTCTGCAACTTCAGCGTATGGGGATATAGTGTGATAAGTTATCCTTCCGTCACCTTGGTTGGGTGGGTTCATGTACATCCTACAGACTTGGATCTAGGATCTGAACCTGAGACTTTCTGGACAGTAGGCATGCGCCTTAACCACCCCACCTACTCTCTCTTCTGACAATTATTTTATCAGTGAAGTGAATAAGAAGAAAATCTCTAAATTATCTATTATAGTTTGTACTACTTTAGTAATAAAACTCAAGTTTGTTTACATGTTTGTATATTTATTGTTTTTTTATTTGTCTGTTTGGTTACAGGAGAGAATCTGCACTGTGTGTAGAGCTGTAGAATACGTATTTAGGTAGAGAATAATGTTCTTTTTGACCAAACTGTTAATCACAAATTTATTTAAAGACGTTAATTAATTGATATATTCATTGGTAGAAATGCCACTTTAATTATACAAGTTCAGAACAATTACTTTACTTATAGTGATGTCAATGGTTTATTTACTTTTTATAACAATAATGGCGGCTTCCATCAAAGTTTTTGTTGCCCATTCAAAAGTTAAATGCGTTATAAAGCTAATTTTCTGTCGGCTATAGCTTTAATGATACATCTGTTTGCTATTTTTATTGGGTTCCAACACAATTATCAATTTTCAACAGTTCTTCTAATTTAAGTATACAATAAATTTCTCTAGATCTAGATATCAGCTGTCATTCCTAGCTCTAGAATCTTGGTCAAACCAAAATAAATTACTTAAAAATTAAATCAATTATAAAAAAACAATAAATTATTGAGTTTCTCTATAAAACTATGTTAGTCCTTAAATATTTGATACAAATCTTTGCTTTTTAGCTTCAATAATCATCTAATTCGAGAATACATAGGATTTATCTATCTAGATCTAGAAAAACTAGACTTAAGCCTAAGCCAGCCCTATTCTACATCTAGATCTAGCTCTATCTAGAATCTATTCCAATATTAAGTTCCTGTATTATATAAATCTTTGTTTAGCTATGGAATTGGCTAATTTGGGATAAAATTTAATTTGAAATAATACTAGGACCTCTTCGCGTAAATCAAGTTTCTTACGCAGACTCAAAGTGGTGTAATATACATTTAAATATGTCTCTGATATGAAGAGCCTAGATAGCTAAGGTGTTTGTGTGAGTTTCGAGACACATCATGTCAAAGTTAAATTTATTTATTTTTCAATTTTTTAGATGTGAATGATAAAGTTCACCTGTTTCTGTGTCCTCAGCACATGAAGGGATAGTGTGGTCAGAGCCATGCTCTGCCGAAATCTTTTTTTTTTAAACTATAAAAACAAGTCTGAGACTTTGTGGGACACTGGGCAGGTGAAGTAGAGTTGGGTAGGTGTAGAGTTCACTGGTGACAGCATATGAAGGGATAGTATGGTCAGAGTAAAGCTCAGCCGAAATCTGTTTTAAAAGACAAAAAAACATGTCTGATTTGCGGGGGGGGGGGGGGGGGGGGGACTTCTGGGTAGGTGAAGTAATGTTAACCTGTTTTTGTGACCTCAGCATATGAAGGGATAGTAAAAAAAAAAAACACATCAGAGGTGTGATGTCTTTTTGAATGTGGGGTCTGGTTTTTATTTTGATGATCAGTGACAGACAGATGTCATTTATGGATGAACCCCAAAATCCCACAGTTATCCAAAGGATGACGGGTAGTCTAGTTAATGATTAAAATTTTAATTTTACATTTAAAATTTACAACTAAATTAGAAATGGTACAAAGTTTAGTATTGGTTTTATTATTACACAGCATTATTTTAGGCTAATTATTTATGAAAACCTTATCAAAGCTAGGAATTATGCCTGTTACGTCTGCTATGTGAGAGGTTCCAACACTACCATTCTACTCAGTCTAGCCCAGGGGTCTCCAAACTTTTCAGTCCGAGGGCCGCATTAACTATCGAATTTCAGTTCGGTAGCCAGTTTCTTCCAGGCTTGTCTTTGATTTATCTAAGAAATGTTCCTCAGCCATCACCAACAAACGTTTTTTCCGTGGACAAAAAGATCTCCGCGGGCCGGACGCGAGGACCTCGCGGGCCGCATCCGGCCCGCGGGCCGTAGTTTGGAGACCCCTGGTCTAGCCAATTACTAGTTCATTCTAAAGTGAGATGAAATCAAACCATCCAAATGACTTGATAAAAGACGCTGGTCACTCTACTGTTTATTTCACAATACAAATACATGCAACGACTTGTACAACTGATATTAATACTTGATAACATATATGGCATCATCCCAAGACTACTAGATCAAGACTCCTTTCTAACTTCTTCCCAGCAACAATTAATTATATTGTGAACTAGTAATTGAAAAGACAGTATAATAGTAGTGCTAGAACCTCTCACATAGCAGGCGTAACAATACTTAGTTTCATTTTAAGTGTATGTTTATTTTTTTATTTTTTGGGATTGGTTATGAATATTGGTACATTTCCAATGCAACAACATACAATTATCTATATATATAATTCTCCTCTTCGAGCCGTTAGAAAACAAGCTGCAAACGCTCTCCCTACCTCCCCACCCCTACATGGTTTTAGTGAGCTGTGTTCACTCTAAATGTTTACAAGCAGAGCCAACGATTTTAAACGTAGGGGGGGGGGGGAAGGAAGGGGGGGGTTATGGTCCTTAACGAGCTACTTATAGTGTTTTAAAGAAATATTTTCAGTGTCAGCGTTGATACTGTCGAATTCACAAATTATGAATTATTGAAAATTAGAAACAACTAAATAGCGGCGTATGTTATGCTGCGGGCCGGCTCGTTACAAATAATAACTGAAGCAAACATCTTGACATCAACTTAGTACCGTAACCTTTTGATGGTCCATGGAGCTGATAGAGTTCACCTGTTTCAGTAACCTTGGCATATGAATGGATAATGTGGTCAGCACCATGCCCAATCACCTTTACTTTCCCTAACTTGAGTAAGTTATCCATCAGGGGTGGGTTGACTCTCGGACATTCTGCTGATACAAACCCGGGATTTGAACTCGAGACTTTCAGGTTAGCAGCGTATGTTCTACTGATTGGCCCACACATCATTTAGTAGGTATTTCTAACTGATATTTTAAAACCATCCCAGGGCTTTTTTTGAAAGTTGAAATGTTAAGAACTCAAGATCCTAAAATATCCTAGTGGATATCAAATTTGTTCATATATCTGGAGTAGTAAAGAAGTTAGGATGTTTTAAAAATTCTTATATTCAACTTTTTCAAATTTCAACATCCTAAAAAGTGAAATGTTTGAGAA